AAGTGGTCCTTAGGTTCGAAGCAACTTCAGCATGCTAAGTTATGTTTGCTACAAAACTACATAAGAATTTTGCGTGTGGTTTATACTTAATTATATTAAATTAATTTATCATGACATATTTTGATTTAATTAATGAACTTTAATATACCATAACTCTCAAGTTTGAGAACAAATCGTGTTCAGTCATTAAAGGCACTTTAAATCCTTTTAAGTCTATAGCTCCAAATTAATTGGTTGTTTTAGTGGTTTTTAAAAAGGTCAAGATTCTTGCAATATTATTAAGAAGATATTTTTGTAAACAAACCAAATTAAGGACTTTTTTTTTCAAACTAGTGGCGTGAATTCGCCCAACACCCGGTACTGTTGCCCAAAACAAAAATGTACCAAAAATGTACCAAAATGTACCAAAAAACAAAAATGAAGAATACTAGAGTTTTGTAAATTAAAAATTATTTATAATTTAGAACGAATATAACTAATTTATCTAATAATTATCTATTCTGCGAAAGTTTCATGTTATTTAATATTTTTATCATTTTAAACTATTCGTATAGTTTATGACAAAATTTCAACAAAATTATTTCCATTTAGCTTTTCATTTAATTTTATTTAGTTTTAATTACTCAATTAATTAGTTTGTGTTAGAGTTCTGATGAAATGAATATATATTTGAAGTAATATTATATGTAAGTATGAAGCCATTTGTTGATAGTTTATTACATTCAGACTTCATTTTTGTGGAAACTTTCATATATATTTACTGATTTGAAAAAGGATGTATGCATTAGATGTACTTAAAAAAATACCATTATTTTCCCAATAGAAATAGGCTTTAACTTTAGAAATGCCGATAAAATTATGGAAATTGTTCAGTCTGACTATCATTTAAGTATTGTTTCAATTGCCCAAAAGCTAAAGACTGCACAAAAAATCCGTTTCGAAACGTTTGAATAAGGCTGGATAGAAAAAGAAGCTCAATGTATGGGTGCCACACGAGTTAAGGCAAAAAACTGAATTTCTATCTGCGAATCGCTGCTGAATCAAAAACAAAATCGACCCATTTGTAAAGCAGTTGGTGACTGATAATGAAAAGTGGTTCGTGAATCACTTACGACAGCTTCATCGGTGTCCAGGCCAGGATGGCCGACCAGGAAGGTTTTGCTATGTGTTTTGTGGGATTAGCAGGGAATTATCTACTATGAACTGCTGTTCTACGGCAATCATTTTAACTCAGAACTGTACTGTCAACAATCAACCGATCTGGCCAGAAACAGCTAGCTTTGGACAACAGGAGAGGAATTGTGTTTCAACCGAACAACGCCAGGTCACAAAAAACGGTAATGACTTGCGAAAAAATAATGAATTTTACTACACCATATACAGTGACACAGTAAAAATTATATTAATTATTCAACTATATAATATACATTTAATGAACTTAAATATACATGTACATATATACATATCACATATCGTAATATTACATATTAAAAATTATACTTATTACTCAGTAACATAATATACATTTAATGAACTTATATTGTGAAACTTACTATAATTGACCTAATTTTACAAAATAAATTGAAATTATTACCACATTACTTACTATTCATTACGAATAAAATATCTTATACATATTGACTATGTGTATTACATCTAAAATAGAAGTAATTAGTATTATATTTCCAAGATATAAATTTCATGCTTAACAACTAATTATGTTGAATATCAGAAATTGTCTTATTCATAAAGTGTAAGTCAATTGCATTATAACTTGATAATTGTCGGTGGGGTAAAGGAAGTACCACAAGGGTAGGTGCTCTTATGCTTTGTAGAGTTCTTGGGCAGGTTGTGAGGCGATTGACACGTGAGAAAAGATTGAAACGAAACAGGTCGATGTGATATGAAAAAAGTGCGTCAGAGGGGGCGGACGAGAGTGTGTACTGCAGTAGTGCTGACATTGACCAAGCAGAATGCATGAAAGTAGGTAGTTATATGAGAATAGTTAGCATTAAGCAATGGTCGTGGCAGTGTGGTGTTTGTGAGGTGTGTGGATGAGATACATTTAAGGGGACGATTAGCACAGAATTTGTTGGGCATTTGGGTTTCCGTTAGGGCAAGGCAGAAGATCGGGTGTATGAAACGTTTGTTGAATACGAAACAAAAGCGAAGAAAATTCACACTGAGCGCATTTTTGGAGGAGAAGCGAGTGCGAATTGGAGCGTTAGAGCCATAGTATAGGCGTGAATACGTGGTTTGATGAGTGTCGAATAGTATTGGTGGGCCCGAATGCACGATGAGTGTTTTGAAGTCGAAGTCGAGAGAAAGTTGACGGTTGCCTCCGTTGGTACGAAATATAAGCAAACCGAATGATCGGTGATGAGAGAATGTATGTTGTGTTGGGGGACGTGTTGTGGGGTGGTTGGCGAAGACAAGAATTAAGGTGTTGCCCGGTAATTCATGTAATTTCTTACAAAACATTAACTTTAGCACTTTAAAAAGTGATATTGAGGATGTTACACAGAAATTACACAAAGGCACAACAGACTGTGTGACTAATAGGGCAATTCTGTGTTTGCATTGCGCGTGACCGCTCGGAGTAAAAGTTCGGTTTAAGTAAGGACAACAACTTAATGCCTTTTAATCGTTTGAGGTAAAATTAAGAAAATTGCGAGTACAAAAACAATATCGAAACGAGCTCAACACAACACACACTTTTCAATCCACTTAAAATTTATAAAGTATAAAAAAGGAAAGAGCAGGAAAAATTATATACTTTTATTGAGTTTTTAGCTTAATTGAAGGTTTGGCAATTATATACATTGGCAGTGGATATAATCATTGTGGCGTTGAGGAACGAAATTTCAAGCTTAGAGATTGCTAACGTGACGTATAACTCAGGTTGAGTGACTAACTGACAATGCTTTGGGTTATGTGTTGTGTTGGGGTGCGTTCACATTGCATGCTGAAGAGCGTTGTCGTTGGCAATGGCAATGGTGTTGTCGATTTTAATGTTGATGTTCTGCCAAAGATGATGATGATGATGGTGATGATGTTGCCACACGCTTCCGCTCGATTTGCTGTGTTTTAAGTGACTTTTTATGTGTTTCCCAATGCGTCGCCTTTTTCCTCCTTGCCATATATTTAAAAGGAGCTAAGGGCGGAGCAAGTAAAATAAGTTGTTTAAAATTGATTTTTATTTTATGCTTCAAAAGCAGCAATGACTATAATTGCCACTGGTATGAGTACTTATCCTTAAAAGCAACAGACAGAGTTGTTATTCAGCACTCTGGATTGCCTTTGTCTTCTGTTAGTTGTTAATTGCACTTGAATCGGACAAATCGCAGTGAATTAATTGCGGTATGAGTAATAACTTTCCTATTATTTTATTCTTCTTTTCCCTTTTTTATTTTATTTTTATTTTTTTATTGCTGTGACAAAGAAACCTTGAAAATGTAAAAATCTAGTTTTAAAAGAAATCAAGTCATCGACTGACTTTTGGGCAAATTTTCCCTGATTTTTTATATCCAATAGTAATTTTCTGTTATTAGCAA